GTTCTGTAGTTACAATGAAGTACGTCATCGGTGTCATACAATTCCATATGCAAAATACTGACTGATAACATGAACCAGTTAAGGGTGTCAGCTATTTAGCATGTTCTTAAAATCAAGGGATTGCTAACTATAATGTAGACGAAGCAGTAGTTTGTATTAAAGACACGCTACAGCTAAGCAGTGTCAAGGAAAGCATGGAACCCTCAGCTTTAATTTTAAGTAGGCTCAGAAATACTTTACGATTTAATTCAGAGGTGATGCAGACAATGGTGAAGCAAGCAGTGAAGTGGCTGAGAAGTCCAAATAATAATGTTTCATCTATCTTTTTGCTGCTTCTGACTTTTTTTTACTTCACTTTAGTGACACTCCTACTGTCTGCTAGTTCTTACTTCACCATCTGAAGTGCAAACTAGGAAATCAGAGTTGGAGAGTTGAGTCAGTTAGCTCTGCACCCGGCATGGTATGAATTCCTTCTTGACCTTCCCTTAAGTCAGAGAGAGTTATCCTCCAGCTCAAATGAAACAATATTACAGCTCTCCATTGCACACACAACACACCAAAGCACTGACCATGTCATCAGTCATTAACCAGACTCACAGGCTGGTAGTCACCCTTTAAGTAAATACATCTGTTTGTCATAGGTGGGGTTGCTCCATAGCATCTCTTGCAGGGCCATGTATGGTGCTGCGGGAGCTCCCTGCCTTAGTCCACAAGTTGTGGCCGTCTACTCAGAGCATTGCGGTCTAAGCTGTGAACTTGGCATCAGTCTTTAAACAGTTAACTAAGGATAACAAAACTCAGAATTTGACTGCCTGTGCTTTTTAAAGGCAAGTGCTTAGTTGTAGCGCTTGAGGCCAAAGCCCTGACCTTGTCCTAAGGAACTGGGCTAGCAGTGACCAGTTCCTGCTCTGTCCAAGTGTCACAAAAGACAGCTCTTAAGAAGAAGCAGGCAAACCTTTTTAACTGGCCTGCTGCCTTCTGTCAGTGTCTTCTCCTGGCCCTTCTAGGCCTCTGAAGGACTAAATCTTCTTGGTAGCCTGGTCTGAGTGGGTTTTTCTCGAGCAGCCAGGTGTCAATGTAAGCCAGGATGTGAACTTCACACAAGATAATGTGGCAAGCCAGAAGGAACGGCTTGTAGTGGTGGTAGAGGCTGCAAATAGTTTGATCCTTTGCAGGGAGCATGGTGCACATATACTGGCTAAGTGCCCAAGGAGTACACATTGGATGTTGTGGGACTAGCAAATTTAAAATGGGTTAATTAATCCTGGAGAACAGCACTCAAAATACTGTCAAACCAACTGTATACAGATTTAATCTATTCCTTAAAGAGATTCCCTACCCCTCTAAGATCAAACAAATCTGAGCCACTATCACTAAAAATGCGATATATAGACTTATTTTCTCATCAGAAGAGCTTTCAATTAGCTGTCTTCACAGTTCATTCATAGATCAACCAATGAAAGTCTGCCACATGCTTCAGATTGTGAAGCATAAACTCTTATGATTGTCTCCTGGATGCTGAAAAGTTTTAGTAACTTATACTGGCTCAGAAGTGCATCTCCACACTGAGACATTTAAGACCAATATCCAGTCCTCTTTGTGGCAGGAACTGTATTTTCTTTCTTTTGTTGGGGGAGAGGGTTTGTAGTTTGTTTTATTTTTACGGGGGTTTTTTACATTATGATTGTATACAGTACTAGCACAATGAAGCCCTGAAACTGACTGAGACCTACAGGCACTGATGCAAGACAAATAAATAATAGTGTCTTTTCCCAATAACCTGACAGTGTCTTAGTATAAGACACTCTACACTACTCTACACTAGCTTCCAGTGGCTGCGGTTTGCCATTCCCGGCCAATGGGAGCTGCAGGAAGCGGCACGGGCCACAGGGACGTGCTAGCCGCTGCTTCCCGCAGTTCCCATTGGACGGGAACAGCAAACTGCAGCCACTGGGAGCTGCAGGTGGGCATACCTGCAGATGGTCAATGTAAACAAACTGTCTCACAGCCCACCAGCGGACTACCCTGGCAGGCTGCAGGTTGCCCACCACTGGTCTAGAGTCTCCAAAAGAGGCCTAAGAAGTCTTATTTGAAAATCCTCTTATTTTAAAGATAGGAATTGAGAGCTCTCAGTGCCCCCACAGGATTAGGGCCTACATCTTGGAATAGTAAACATGCAAATAGTACCTGTTTTGAAGATGGGATGTTGCTGTTATTTTTTTCCACAAGGGCCCATTTCAAAATATTTGGCAAGGATGGAGATTTCCATGTTGGCCAAGGGTTGACAAACTTTCCATCTTTATCTCTCTTTGATTTAGTTACATCTTCCTCTAATCGGTAATCCAATCTGAAGCTTTTTCTGGACGTCCTGGAGGAGTCACTGCCTCTGGAACCTCGACTTGAATTTTGTCGTTTCCTTACTGCCTCCTTAGGGTACTGGTTACATGCAGTCAAAGGTTGCTCTTCATCTGCCTTCTCATCCATGTCTTTTGATGAAGAGCTAAAATATATTTTTTAAATTAATAAATCTTTTCTTTCATTAACATTAACATTCATAAAATTGAAAGCTTTCCACATCACCACAAAAATAAAGCTGCCCTTTCCATTTTTCAATTTAACTTATTTTTCCATACAACTTTACTTTTTAAAAACAGTTACTATTACACAGAAAGCTTAAAAAACATGTCTTAGCAAGTAGTGTAGTTCAGGCAGAATCTTCCTTCCTGGTATGCATCACTTTAGAACCCAGCCCTATGACATACTAAGTATAAAAGAGGGGGATGTTCTTTACTTTCACTTTTTGGAAGAGTACCAAACTCCTCCTAAAGTTCAACACCTGATATAATTTGATCTTGCAAGCACAGCCTTGATCTTCTTGAATTATGAAATATTTTATACCTGGCATCGTACCTTTGTTCTGTAATAAAAACTGCAGTATTGTGTAGCAATAAAGATACTTCTGTTTGAAAGACACAACAAATAATGCATCTCTGTATAATATGAACAAGATGTATGAACCACTAGAGGTATTTGATACCTCAAGATAGCTGTATTTTAGACAATATAGGTAAGCTGAAAATTCAGTTAAGCTTAACTGATATAATTAAAATAAAGTCAAATGTCTGAAGGTCAATCCAAGTCCCATGAAACTAGTCATCCCAGGGATGAGCTGCAGAAGTCTAGTATCCATTAAGTAGGCTGGTTCCTGGACTTGGAGTCTACAATAGGTCCAATTTTTATGTTTTATTTGCAGCATTTCGTATTTTATATCTTCAAAGTGTTCTACAAACAGTACCTTAATTTCAGCACCACTGTGAAGTTAATAAATATCCTTATTTTGCAACTGGAGAAACAAATTAATTTACCTACAGCTACAGTTTAAGTCCATTTCATAGAAGCAATTAGAACATGGGAGCCAAGAACTCCTAACCCATGTTGCATTCACAATATTGTCATGCTGAACATGCATCCTCTACAGTTTAGGAATTTAGATAAAACAATCCAAACAACAGGATTCCAAGGTGGAGGAAAAAACCCTCGCAAAGTGATAAGTGAGTGACTTAACAGCTTTAAAAAGCAACAGAGGGTCCTGTGGCACCTTTGAGACTAACAGAAGTACTGGGAGCATAAGCTTTCGTGGGTAAGAACTTCACTTCTTCAGATGACAGCTTATGCTCCCAGTACTTCTGTTAGTCTCAAAGGTGCCACAGGACCCTCTGTTGCTTTTTACAGATTCAGACTAACACGGCTACCCCTCTGATACTTAACAGCTTTAGTTTAAGAAACTCTGGAATACACTTATTTTGAATTAAATTTTCAATCCTCTACCAATGTTAAGACAAATGTGAGTTTGGTGTCCAGTTATTTAAAACAGAAAAGTACCACAGATTTCAGACGTTTCCATGATTAAAAACAATAAATGACCAGAGGCAGACAAGTAGCATTGTACATTGTTTAGAATCAGTGGAACACTGTTTAAATAGATATACAAACAAGAAAAAATTAAATGGCCGAATGGAAACAGCATTTGTATTGGTCTCCAATATGTCTGGAAACATTCTTATAGGGTAATGTCTTGATTAGATACTTCAAAACAATGTGGGGAGAATTTTAGCATTCATGAATTAAGACTGATGTTACTTCTAGTCAGTACCAATAGAGGTACCAGTATCTAGCATGCAAACTTCCCTTTATAGTTCCAGAGCTATTATACCTTTTATCACAGTCGAGAACCATTCCTACACACAGGCTGGGAATTGGGCTGTTCAGTGATATGGAACGAGCCCTCCACACATTCTGGACTACATAAACTTTTCACCCAATAATCAAGCTTGACCTCAGGTATCCATTAGAGATGTACTTGTACATTAACTGAATGATTTCCAAACTTTGTGTGCTCAAGGATCAGTTTCAAAAGGATGGTTTTAAATAAGGCCACTCACTTACAAGCAATTTAAAAGAAAAATTTCTCCATTGTACTTAGCATGGTTTTAGTCAAATTAGTTAAGAGACGTGTTGTTCCTTTGACAAAATAATCTACAAGTATCCGAGTGGCTAGAATTCACTCTGCGCTTGTACAATTAAATACAAAAATCTATGTTAGTGTACCATTACAACTGAGATTTTATACACAGACAAAATCAGTTTAATGTTACTACAACCCATCAAAAAATTATGTATTAGTGGAGCTCTGACTTTAGAGGTAGATCCCTCTTTTCCTGCTATGGAACAGCCATTTGCAAATTAGCGAGATTGCTTACCTGTGACATGACATAGATGACATAGCTGATGAGGGTTGGAGATACACAGATGGTTCCTGCATCAATCATTACTCTGCCATATTGCACAGACATAGACTATTAAGGCATTAAAGACAACACCATATGGTAACAGAAATATCTTCATACATCCACAGCAGGGTTACTGCCACTGGCCTTTAACTGTGTAAAATCTCAACCATAATGTTGGATTAAATTAAATTTCTTTGCATTAATTTTCTTGTGGTTTTAGAGAGATCACCCAGTTTGTACATTTGCTAATTAACAATCACATATTCCAGTAAATGCATTTATATATTACATCATCATATAACATTTAATTCAAATTGTGTGCATTCTGAAACTGTGCACGCCACTCTAGAAAGTATGCAGGACTGTGGTATATAGAAGAATTAAGGGAGCACAAAGGAGGATTAAGGGTTGTGTGCAGATATATGCATTACACAGTATGTCTTTCCAGGTACTGAACTATGCAGTATACCTACATGCTGCTGTTTGCACTCAGGGATAACCATTTTTTTTTTAATTCCTCACAGAGGACTACATGCCAAGTCAGAAGTTTTAATTACATATCATTTTTTAATTAAAGCATGCAAACAAACAGCATAAAACCACATCTGAAAAACTGCTAAAAGATGATATGCAAAGGTAAAGTATCAAATTCTAGTAATTTAGGTACTTAATTTCAGTAAATTAATCAGTTACCATTTCAATAGACCACCCATTTCAATTTTCTTATTCAAATATATGACGACTGTGGTCCACAGTATAAGCTACTGTAAAGTTGACATATTACCATTATTACTAGAAGCTAAGGGATGACTTGATCACAGTCTGTAAGTACCAACAAGGGGAACAGAAATTTGATAACAGGGCTCTTCAATCTAGCAAACAAAGGTATAACAAGATGCCATGCGTGGAAGTTGAAGCTAGACAAATTCAGACTAGTAATAAGGAGCACATTTTTAAAGGTGACGATAACTAACCATTAGAACAATTTACTAAGGGTTGTAGTGGATTCTCCATCACTGGAAATTTTTAAGTCAAGACTGGATTTTTTTTTTTTAAATAATTCGCTCTAATTCAAACAGGAGTTAATTCAGGGAAGTCCTATGGTCTGTTATACGGCAGGAAAGACTAGATTATCACAAGGGTCCCATCTGGCTTTGGAATCTATGAAGTAATTTTACATTAAAAGAGCTCCAAAAGTGTCTGAGGCATTTTTAAAAGTTTTAATTTATCTATTACATTCATCTCTCAAATGGGTGAGTTCAATTTTTGCTTAAATGCACATTTGATCCTGCTCTGAAATTTTGATACTGAACCAAATTATCAGTGTAAGGGAAGAGGGAATGGTTGTACTGACAACAAAATGGGTGCCAAGCATTTAAGGCACTGCAGGTATCCATCTGCCAATATGTTTTCCACTTGATGCACGTACATGGCTTTCATTAGCATTCCATAAGCATTTGAGGGGAGCACAGACCTCATCAGCCAGAACTGATTGAATACTTAACCTTTTTACATGCATAAAGAAAATTACAAATTTAGAAACAGTTAATCTAGTCAAGTATTCTCTGAACTGTATATTCCTTGAAAGTCTCTCTCTTGCCTCTTAATTTATGTTTCTCTTGGAAATATGTGGTGGGTATAACCTAGTGTGTCTGAAATGCAGCAATTTTGCTCTGTACATCAGTTTTGATTCTGCTTAGGGTACAGCAAACTAAAGCTAATTATTTTGTTAAGGTGAAGAGGAACATTTTGAGAAAATCCAGCATGCTTCAACTTTTGGCTTAAAGTAAAACCTGGCAGGTTGTCTACAGAGGTTCTTGGTATTCTAAACAAGAAAGCTTCTAAATCTGAGATTTGGTATCTATATCTCGAATATTACAAAGTACTCAATCAGGGATGAGTCAACACTTCCTCCCACCCTCTTGAGCTCACCTCAGAGGCAATATTATTTTTCTAGCACCAAACAACCCCCTATTATTACTTTAAGCCACTGGATTGTCTGTCAATATGTATAAGTGAGCAAGACATTGCAGTTAAATCCTATCTGTGTGTGGGGTAGCAATAAACAGACTTTAAAAAAAAATCCCGTGTAGACATCCTGCAATTGTAGACTTGCACAGGTGCCTTTGTACGCTCGACCCTTGTAAACAAAAGGGAAGAATCCACCTTTATATATGCTAAACATTAATCAAATCCTGGATGCTTTACTCACACAAGTTATCTTACACCCAAAACCACATTCCAGTAGGCAAACGTGATATATTTCAAATGCACAAATGGGATGCAAATACTGTTTGACTGCTATGAACATTTAAAACAGAGCAGGAGGACTTTTTTAAATTAAGAAATATTTTAATAGCCAGATGCATTTAAGCATAAAAAAATTAATCATCAGTTTGTGGAAAAGTGACCTATAATTAAATCCTTCCTATGGTCTGATGAAAAGCTTTCCTTAGGAAAGAAATATGTTAGAAGCAGGGTTTGAAAAATCCACTCACATAGGTGAGCAGAAATCTCTCAGGCAAGTGCCAATAGCTTCTGCAGAAGTAAAGATTCTGTTTTAAAAAATTAAGTTCCTAGCCTTTATGATTGCAAAGAAAACATTCATTGTAAACCAAGTGTAATCAATGTAGTGATGTCTTCCTGAGTCTATAGAGAGAACTCCAGTTCTGACACTGCAGGGGGTACCGAGTAGGAAGCTGCCACTGCTGTTATACAGGGGAGCCCTGGCCTCCAGGACATCTTAAGATGAGGAATGCCCTGGAGCAATTGCCAACCTCATCCCTAGAGCAGGGGATACTGGAGAGAGGTCAGTCCCCAACCAACCCAGCAGAGAAATCTGTGTGTGGAGGAGCTCTACTCACACTATGCCAGAAGAGGATTCTAGGGGTATGTCTACACAGCAATTAAACACCCACAGCTGGCCCAGGTCAGCTGACTCAGGTTCAGACTGCAGGGCTCAAAAATTGCTGTGTAGGACATTTGGGCTTAGGCTCCAGCCCAAGCTCTGGGACCCTGCGAGGAGGGAGATCCCAGAGCCTGGGCCTCAGCCCAAGCCTGAACGTCTATACAGCAATATTTAGCCCTGTAGCCCAAACCCTGCAAACCCGATTCAGCTGACCCCTGGCCAGCTGCGGACATGCTATAGGTCTTTTATTCCAGTGTAGACATACCCTCAGAGGGAAGACAGGGGCAATATTAATTGATAAATATGTTGTGGTGGCCCAGCATTCATTTGGGACTCAGTTCATCCAGCAATATACCAAGGTTTTCAGGCCAAAGCAGTATGGTGGGTGGAAGGGACATACCAGGCAAGAGGGGTTGTGGCTCAGGAGGGGCATGGCTTGGAGAACCTGTGTATTTTGGCCTCACATTTAGGCTTAGTCCTTAAGCTAGTAGGTGTTGGATCAATTTTGCAAGCCAAGGTAAAAGCTGATAAACAGCTGAAGATACATATGGTGTAGTTTCATATTGGCATTAACCATTAACTTTTAGGAAAGCAACAGTGAAGTGTTCAGTGAAATGTTAAAATGGATTTTACCTCACACCTTTTTCAAGTGGACCTTAGAAATATAGAAGTGAAAAATTACAAATACAACATTGTCATCAGTATTTCTCCTTGAAAAGGCAATTTTAAACATTACAAAGTTTCAAGCATGAAAGTGTTGTTTTTTTTTAACTTCAGTCAGGAGAATACAGGCAACAAAACATGGAATCTCTCTAACTAATGCTCGCATTCTTCCATGTAGATAAAAACCTCCTCCTATCCCATCTACCCATCCACTACCATACTGCATACAGGTATAACTCACCACCACACACACACTTCCTATGGACATGCTAACATCTGAAGGAGTGGAGTCTTAATTTGTTGGGCCCCATACGATTTAATTTTAGAGCAGGGCTCCCGTTCTCTGGATCTTATGCACCAATCCAATTGAAACTTTTGACTATACTAGGGTTCAAAAAAGGAGTAGATAAATTCATGGAGGATAGGTCCATAAATGGCTATTAGCCAGGATAGGCAGGGATGGTGTCCCTCACCCAGGGGTGGGCAAACTACGGCCCACGGGACCGTCCTGCCTGGCCCCCGAGCTCCTGGCCCAGGAGGCTAGCCCGAGGCCCCTCCCCTGCTATCCTCCCTTCCCTGCAGCCTCAGCTTGCTCGCTCTGCCGCCGGCGCAATGCTCTGGGCGGCAAGGCTGCGAGCTGCTGGAGCAGCGCAGCTGCAGAGACCAGCTTGACCCGGTACTCTGAGCTGTGTGATGGCGGCAGCAGTGGTCTGGCTCCTGCCGGACGGCACGGGTGTAGTGCCACCAGCCACCGGTGCTCCAGGCAGCACGGTCAGGGGGCAGGGGGGGTTGGATAGAGGGCAGAGGAGTTCGGGGTGGTGGTCAGGGGGCGGGGGTATGGATGGTGGTCGGGGTGGGAAACAGGGGGTTGAATGGGGGCAGGGGTCCCCGGGGGGCAGTCAGGAAGGAAGGGGTTGGATGGGCGGCAGGGGTTCCAGGGGCAGTCAGGGGACAGGGAGAAGGGTGGTTGGATGCGGCAGGGGTCCTGGGGGGCCGGCAGGAATGAGAGGGGAGTTGGATGGGGAGGTGGGGGTTTGGGGGCAGTCAACTGAAAAGGAATTTATTTGCAAACATTAGGGGGCGTGGAAAGAAATGCCCCCTGCAATCTTAACTATCAATAGTCACTGCCAGCTAGATTTTACTCACAGAGTTCTTTTCTTTCATTGTTCTTTAGCACTGAAATTGCTTAGGGCAACTAATGGACAGTTTGAGATTAGATGATTATGAATGCAGTTAAACTTTCATTATAAAGCACTTGAGGCTGTTCAGACCAATCAGAACAGCAGATTGGCTGAACACTCCTAGCCTTATGATTTTGCCTCAAGCTGTGGAACTAACCGGTCTTCAAAGGATTCTTTTAGTGTGTTGGACTGTTCCATTTTAAAACTGCACAGAAGGGGAGAAAAAAACATTACAAAAAGTTATTTCATATTTTAGTGACTAGTGAGAAAATGTGTGCGATGCCCTTATGTCCGTATCACAATGTCTGAAGAAACTACCACACAATTTTCTGCCATATTTAGAAGCATACATTTTATATCATGCTGGTTTCCTACTAGTGTGGACAGGAAACACAGTACCTATAAGTGTTTTGACTTTAAAATAATTGTTGTTCCACTATGAACACTGTAAAACAGGCGTAACTGAGTTGATTTCAGGAAATTTTATAAGTATTGAATATACATCTTTAAGGCATGCAAAGGAAGAGGCTACAAATTGTTTACATCTACATCTGTTTCATTAATATGAAGTGAATTCCTGATGTTTATTGTCAAAATAAATGTGCACCAGAAAACATATTGGCCAGAAGCTATTTTCTCTTCTACTTTGTTATTATATACAGAGAACATTAAGTTACTGTACTAGGAACTTAAAGTATGTTAATTTTAAAGTCTAATTGGGACCATTTAAATGCTAACACTATTAAGCACTGGCCATTTAGTTTTTAATAAAAAACAAAATATTAATGAATGCTAAAGTAA